GTGGCCTGTGTGGACGAGTGGCAAAATGCCAATGGCGGCCCCGCACCTGGCGGCACCTGCACCAATGTGGGCTGTATTCCGTCTAAGGCGCTTTTGCAGTCCAGCGAATATTTTGATTTGGCCGATAAGCACTTTGCCGAGCATGGCATTAGCACCAAAGAGCTAAAAATGGATGTGGCACAAATGACCAAGCGCAAAGACGAGGTGGTCAAACAAAATAATGAGGGGATTTTATTTCTCTTTAAAAAGAACAAAATCACCTTTTTCCATGGCCGTGGCTCCTTTGTCAAAGCGGCAGAAGGCAGCTACGAAATCAAGGTCAGTGGCAAAGTAGAGGAAAACCTGCAAGCCAAGCAAGTGATTGTGGCCACAGGTTCCAGCGCACGGGTACTGCCTGGAGCGGCCTTTGATGAAGTCAATATTTTGAGTAACGATGGCGCTTTGCGCCTGGCTGCCGTGCCTAAAAGGCTGGGCATAGTGGGCTCGGGCGTGATCGGGCTGGAAATGGGTTCCGTCTGGCGCCGGCTGGGCGCTGAAGTCACGGTACTTGAAGCCATGCCCAACTTTTTGCCCGCAGCCGATGAGGCTGTGGCCAAAGAAGCGCTTAAAGTCTTTGCTAAACAAGGACTTAAACTGGAATTCGGTGTCAAAATCAGCGAAATCAAAAACGCCAAAAAAGGCGTATCCGTGCTCTACAACAACGCCAAAGGTGAGGCGCAGACGCTGGAGGTGGACAAACTCATCGTTTCCATAGGCCGCGTGCCCAATACTGCTGGCCTCAATGCCGATGCCGTGGGTTTAAAGTGCGATGAGCGTGGCGCCATCGTGGTCAATGACTTATGTCAAACCAATTTGCCTGGCGTGTGGGCTGTGGGCGATGTGGTGCGTGGCCCTATGTTGGCGCATAAAGCGGAGGAAGAGGGCGTAGCGGTTGCTGAGCGTATGGCCGGGCAGCATGGGCATGTCAATTTCAATACGATTCCTTGGGTGATTTATACGCATCCAGAGATGGCTTGGGTGGGCAAGACTGAGCAGCAGCTCAAAGCCGAAGGGCTGGCTTATAAAGCAGGGCAGTTTCCTTTCTTAGCCAATGGTCGCG